CTATCGAGCACGACTGGTATTATTTGCAAGAAATAATAGCCGAGGTACCTATTTTCCCAAGAAATTAGTAGCCTTTAATTCTCGGGATCAAAGGCCAAGCTTTGATCTGGAGTTGTGCCTGCGTAGAGTCTGAGATCGCGTCCTCTCGAACTCTTGCCTTTATTTGGCGTGTACGATCGCTGAGCACCAGATCTGGATGAGCAAGTCCTCGAAGTCCTAAAGTTTGAATCTTTTTTAGATCTGACGTCTTCAATCCAGCAGGGCTTCGCTCGTCCAAAAAATCCCACCTTACAAATGAACACTCAATGGCCTATTTATAGGCTCTCAGATCTGTGCCTGCGCACAGATCTGGGCGGCACCCATGGGTGCCTCGGCTCTTGCCGAGCCACCATGGGTGGCTCGGCCTTGGCCGAGCCACCTATAGGTGGCTCAGCCACCGAGCCACCTAGAGGTTGGCCCTCGGTTTGGCCGAGTCCCCTAGGTGTTGGGTTCCGTCGTGTTTTCGTCTTTCGCCGTTCTCGTCCCGTGATTTGGTTGATTCAGATTCTGATTCGTTGACCTGATTTGGCAGTAAATCCGATTCCTGATTTGGCAGTAAATCCACTTCTGAGTTTGAGTCCGAAACCGATCTTGATTCGGTCGTGATTCATCCGAGTCCGCTCTTGTTTGGATGACTCGTTGACTCCTCGAACCATTGGCTTGATTCCGCACGCGAATGGATGCATTCCGTTGCTTGCGTACGATTCGTTGACCTCGTCACCTCGTCACTCGATGGTTTGTCGAATTATCGTGCCGAGCTATGCCGAGGGACTTATAAGCAATTTTACATGCCTACAATCGGGAAGTGGACCGAGGCGCTCTAAAACAGAGTTCCTTCTTCGGGATGATTCCGCGGGATCTCCCGGAGTAGCTATTGGAATTGCTAGCGATTTCGGTTGGTTCGTCGGAGGTTGAACTTGCTTCGAAGGCTGTAATGATTGTGCCTTAGCCTGAATCGCCGCTTCAGACTTTGGCCTCCAGACTTGGCGGGTTGGTGGCGGCTTTTTGGCTAATTGTCATGCGAGGCGTTGACGACGTCTTTGGCGCGCCCTCTTCGACAAAGTTGGAGCACCCTCAGCGGTCATGCTGGTCGAACTCATATTCGACCTCCGTTTCAACCGGGATCGGGATCCGAGGTTGCGACACGTCAGCCTTCGCAGAAAGGCTGTCGGCTCCCACTGTGGTCGCCAGTTTGTTTTCGTCGAAAGTTACCTTAGTCATTGATTTCATTAAACTTTAAGCGTTACAAATGAATTCAAACAACAAAAGAATAAAAGATTACAACTTTCTTGAAAATAAACACAAGATCCGTTCGTCGTCTCTTGTTTGTGTGGGTCTTTAGCCTGTGACGGGGATGTCGATATCCGTGGACTACCTGGCAATCAGATCAGGTTCAGAGCTTCGTCGATCCGCGAGGAGATCTAGAAACAGAAGCGCTTATCTCGACAAAAGCGAGATAATTGTTCTTCTTAGAATTACCACAACGGGATAATACTAAGGATTGGATGCGGGTGATGTAGATCTGACGACTTTCGATCTCTTGTGTTGAAGAACTCGATCACTCTTCAGTTCGGCAGGGCTTCGCCAATTCTCCAAAATTCCATATCTCAAAAAATGAGCCTCCGGGACTTGTATTTATAGGCACGGGACGAATCTGAGTAGGAGACACCCTCTGGTGTCTCAACCAGCGCCGAGACACCCTAGGGTGTCTCAACTTGGGCCGAGACACCCTAGGGTGTCTCGGCCTTGGCCGAGACACCATGTGGTGTCTCACCTATTGTTGAGACGTATTTTCACCTCCTCGTCGGTTTCCGCCGTAATTTCTTCGTCCGAACTCGGATTTGAGCGATTCGAAGTGCGTTGGAAAGCCGACAAGGAGTTCTATCAGCTCCGATGGTTGGATCTTTTGTAAACATCGTGGGGCTCCCGATTAGCCCGTACCTTCGTTATTCCGAAATTCTGTTAGTCCACGTAGTTCGTCGATTCACTTCAAGCGTTCACTGACATCAATCGAACTCCTGTAAACCGAATAGTGACGTTCATCGTCGTTCCTTAACACTGAGCTGTTCGTGGAGACCTATAGGCAATTTTCGATGCCTACAATCATCTCTGTGATTGGTCACTAGGGCATATCATACTTAACAATATCCAGTGAGCAACAAGAGGGAGAGTGTGACTCGAATTCATGTGCATCTGACTTAATGTTTGAGGAGTCTTTTGATGACGAATTAGGGTTAGATCCGCTGGTCAATCATGTATCTACAATTGGCTGGCAACGAGAATCTTTAGAGATAGAACCCTGAGTCCAACTTCGCCCATTTGTGGAGGAACCCCCTAAGTTAGAGCTCAAAACTTTACCTGAAAATCTAGTGTATGCCTACTTAGAGGAGAGCGAGGCTTTACCAGTTATCATTTCTTCTAACTTGACTACCAATCAAAAGTTAGTAGCCGTCGAATACATGTCAAAATGGGTTGAGGCAGTAGCTTGCAAAACTAATCACTACAAGGTTATTGTAAAGTTTTTAAAGGAGAATGTTTTGGCACGGTTTGGAGTGTCCCAAGCGATCATTAGCGATAACGGTACACATTTCTGTAACTGTTCTTTTAAGGCTTTGATGAGAAAATATTCAATCACACATAAATTGTCAATTTATTATCACCCCTAAACCAGTGATCAAGTAGAGGTCACAAACAGGCAAATCAAACAAATCTTATAAAAAATAGTTAATATAACAGAAAAGATTCTGTAAAATTATGTGATGCTCTGTGGGCATATAGAACAACATTCAATGCCAATTTGGGGATGTCACCATACAAGTTTTTTTTGGGAAAGCTTGTCACCTACCAATGAAGTTGGAACAATGAGCAATGTAGGCTATAAAACAGTTGAATTTTGACTTAGACTCGGCAGGTAAAATCAGGTTGCTCCAAATAAATGAGTTAGAAGAAATTCGAAACGATGCATATATAAACTCAAAATTTTACAAAGAGAAAACCAAGATTTTTCATAACAATTCAATTTTAAGAAAAAATTTAACTCCGAGATAGAAAGTTTTATTGTACAACTCAAAAGTACATCTTTTTTCTGGAAAATTGAGATCAAGATGGTCAGGCCCATTTATCGTTAATAGAGTTTTCTCACATGGGGCTGTCGAGATAGAAAATCCTAAAAATGGTCATATTTTTAAAATTAATGGTCTTTCATTGCAACGCATTGATCGGCGTTGACCTAGGGTTACGCGTTGACCGGCGTTGACCTAGGGTTTGGAGCGTCGTACGTTTTAAGTTTGGTCGCAACTCATTGATTGGTCGCAACGCATTGATTGGTCACAACGCATTGATTGGCGTTGACCTAGGGTTACGCGTTGACTGGCGTCGACCCTAGGGTTTCGAGAGTTTTCTCACATGGGGCTGTCGAGATAGAAAATCCTAAAAATGGTCATATTTTTAAAATTAATGGTCAACGCTTAAAGTCATTTTTAGAATTTTCTACGCTCGAATAGGAGAAGGTGTTGATTCTCCATGAACCACATTATTTGTAAAAAAAAGAAAAAAAAAGATATATATGAAAAAAAGAAAAAAAAAGAGAAGCATAATTTTTTTTTCCTTTTGTTTATTATTTGATTTAATCATCCTCATACTAAAGGTAATTGCAGATTCTTTTTAGCAACATTGTTCTAGGTCGACCGAACAAATGTAAGTTCTTCAATTCTCATCTGCTTTACTTTGTGCATAAGAGAATTTGCATTGAGGACAATGCAAAAATTTAGGGGGTGGGGGGGGGGGGGGGTTTTTTTCTCTTTATTTGAGTAGTTATTTTTCCTCTTTATTTTATCTTTTTGTTACATTTTTGTCATAATTTTTCCTTCTTTCATTCCAAAAAAAATTATAAAAATATTGTCACTTGCCAAATTAATAAAGTTAAAATAATTGATTTATTTAATAAAATTTAATTTTTCTAATCCATAGTTAGTAATTTACTCAAGTTCACCTTTTATGATAAATCTAAATAAATTTCATAAGAAATAATTTTTCAAATTAGTATACTTTACTTAAGCCTTAACGTAGACTTTTAATTAAAATAATGAAATTTTTACATGCTTAACTTAGAGTTGAAAATAATCTTTCGACCTAGTAATTAAGCCCAATGAGTATTTCTATACTTAATGACCTAAGCCCAATTGGGTTGGGATTCATTGGCCCAAAACTCGTTAAATGGTCATTTAGAAAGCCCTTAGAAAAAATCACCAAAAAATAAAGAGTAAAAAATATATACTAACAATATTTTTATATATATAGTTATATTTGTATATATGGTTCTGAAAATTTATTTAAAACAAAGAGTTAGCATGTTTTTTCAATACTTTTAAATTAAATTTCTAAGTTTGACTTGGTTTTGTATTGCTATAATGAAAATATTTTCTAGGAGATTTACTTTAGAGTTATTTATTAAAAATGTTTTCTTGAGTAATAGCTAGCTTCAATCAGAATGTCTAAATATATCAAGTAAAATTAGTTATGGGAATTAGGGGAGACCTCTCCTCATCCTACCCCCTCCTTTCTTTCATCTTTTATGCACACACCGATTAGAAAAATCCCTCCTATCCTCTAACAAGTTCCCATGGCACCTATTAGAAAAATCGCTAAAACTATATGCTTTAAAACAATTCTACTGTCCGGTAAAATCATACAACACTTCCAAATGATGGAAAAATAATAGGTTTAAATCTTCTTAGCCTCTGCTTCTCCATGCCTAATCAAATTTACCCCAAGGCTTTACCATGACAAAGTTGTACATAAATTTCTGAAACTTTTCGATAGCACAGACAGCAGGCTAAATATAGCGTCGCAAAAGTTGAACTGAACTTTATGCATCAATCGGTCTCGAGCAAAACAACCAAAAAGAGAATATCTCTGTCAAAAACATATTAAGTACCTTCTAAAGCAAAAACACAGAGAAATTGAGTAGAAAGAATTGCATCCTAAACTTTATTTATTAATGGAAAATATGAAATGAGCAATTTTCTGATCAAGTTCAACATGCATGAAGTAGTATATACAGAAAGCTCTGATAAACTTTTCATGTTTATTATACTAGTATATGTACTATACTAATATACGCACCAGTAAAGTACTGATAAGGTCCCAGCAAATTAAAACACGTATCATACGAAAGCGTTGGTAAACTTGCTCTTCAGAAGCCACCAGTAGAAAAGCTACTAATCTAATCTCCAACATGCCCATCTGAAACAACTGTGTTAGCAAAGCTACTAATCTAACTGAACCAACGGATCAACATTACCGCTAGATGCTTCCATCATTCCATTTCGTATCTGATCAGTTATATCCCTAATGTGGCCAGGACCATGAGGTATAAACACGGTAGTGTTCTTCGATGCGTTCCCAAGTTCTTTTATAGTGTCAAAGTACTGAGTGACCATTATCAGATCCATCACATCCTTAGCTGAGGTTCCAGACACGGAGTGAGAGAAGTTGAGAATGTTATTTCTTAGACCATCCGTTATTGCCTGGCGTTGTTTCGCGACTCCAACACCTCCAAGATACTTGGCCTCTGCCTCTGCTTCAGCCCTCTTCACCATAAGTACCTTTTCAGCTTCCCCTTTATAAACGCTAGCAAGCTGAAGCCTTTGGGCTGCAAATATAACAGTATCAGTTGAGCATTTTATTCATTATAAGTAATAAAGAGATTAAAACAAATATTTAATAACTTAAAGTAGTCCAAGATAATCCAGGCATTAAGAAATTCAACACACTGTCACTATGTTCTCTTGATTCAACCATCCAGCACATTCACCATCACAACAAAGCTAAAATAGAAGACTGATTGCTTGTTAATAACTTAAATTTTCTTTTTTGATAATTTCTGCATTCAACTGTGGTGAAATTTGAATTACATTCTCATAGCAAAAGAATTTCCCATGGTGAAGTCTTTTTGGTACATTTTCTGGGTTCTACTCATAGCATCCATTATGCAACTCAACTACTCCTGAGTCCCTAGATATCCCACAATGAACAGCTACAGAAATGACCTTTACAGTTCCAGAACAACTTTGCAGTTTGACTGAATAAAACCAATGATTGTACTGTGTTCAACATTATTCCGTAATTCTTACTAACCTAGAGCATTGGCTTAGTTTCATGTCCGGTCATGAAAGTAACATAGACAGCCCAAAATTAAGAAACACCCTAAAAAGAAGTACACCTTACTGCTGAAACAGTGAGTTGCCTTTGTAGCATTACATCCACGCATCTAACTCCTCTTGATAGTCTAACTAGCTGTCTATCCAACACAACCAACAAAGAAACCATCCTTCCCAGAGCATAACTCATACTAGGAGTCAGTCAGGTAAAATATTTGTAACATCACAGATACAAGTCATGAATCCCACCATGCCTTCCTTAATTCAAATCAGGTAAACGAGAGCAAGAGACAAATTGATCATTAGATATTGATACTGACCGCTTAGTTGGCAACTGATAAGTTGCTAACTAAAGATTAGAACAATCAATCACAAAACCCAACACTGAGTTGGCTCTATCTGTTAGAACTATTACAAAATCCCGATGCAGCAAAATACCCTCAAGCACAGACAGCATTGACAAGCCATCTAAACATGACTACGTGAACCAGAACCAATTTGCACAATCAGCAGATAATTCAAATCAGATAACACTATTCCAAGATAACATTTTTTATTGAAAGTAGTCAGCCAAACAAAAAAGGCCAAATATTGGCAGGTTAAAAGTCATTCACAGGTAACTTGCTTTAAAAAACAGTATAGACATCCATATACGACTCTATAAGCACGTCAATTCATGACAAATAATGGAAAATTTGACATAATACTTATAATCTAATACAGCCGCCTCTGCCCACATAAGAAACTATTTTGCACATATAATTTATATGATCCTAAGCCCTGCATGCAAACCAATTCCAAAGACTATAAAGGCCCTGTCAAATGTCCCTTCCGCTACACCAAAACTCAGAAGTTGTGTGGGAAGAAAAAACACTTAACATAGTTCACATTGAAACAACCGGTTTATCTTCCAATGTCAGATCTCGGAAAGTCAAAACGTATGTAAATGAACTATTGTAAAAAATGTAAAGGAGAGACGGATCTTTAAGCACTCATAAGCACATGCTTAGATCTCCCCCCTCACTCAAACCCTCTCAGCAGCAACCACTGCAATGGAAACTGTCAGAGAACCCATATGTGAAACAGAAAGAAATGGAAATACATGCTAATGTTATCTAATAACGATAACATCACGCATAGTAATATCCACAACCTAGATACACCATATGGTGATGATTTCCACACCCATGTACTGTATAATTCATATACCAAGATTATGTTCATCCATATACCCGTGATCGTAAGTCTGTGAAATCTACCAGTCGTTTTTTTAAATATCAGCAACAAGCTATGTAACCTGGGTACTTCTATTTGGAAACCGTACTCGTACCGGACACGTACTTGTACCCCAAAGTTCATGGACTCTTCTTGAATATATGCACACAATTGTTCAAGCTTATACTCAAGTATATATATGTTTTAATCTAAAACACTCCTCATACATTTCTTGGATGTATACACTTCACATCTATTTATAATATATTGATCTCATGTAAATGAAAAAAAAAATATTTATCTTATATAAATTATTAATTTTAATACATATAAATATACATAACATACATATTTATAGCCGTGTCCCTATACCCTACTTTTCACAAATTTGATGTATCCTGTACCTGTACCCGCACCCCTACCCATGCAACTTTGGCAACAAGAAAATCCTCTCTTGCTTCAATACATTTTGATTTCCATGCCATGCAATAAGATCATATTGTCAACATTTTTTTCTATCATAGTGCTTGACACTAGGGGTGCTAATGAACAGAATTCAAATTGAACACCACAGTATTTGGATTCGGATTCGGTTAATTTTGACGAATTTGAATTCAAATCCGAATTCTAGTTGAATAGAAAAAGAGTGTTCAAATTCGATTCGTTTATTATTCGAATTTTGTTAAAACGTTCACGAATATCATATTAGCACACTTGATTAGTCATAAGATTCTTAAACACGAGGTCATGAGTTCAAAAGCTATGTTTGACATAATTTATTAAATCCTTTCTTTAAAGTTTTACTTAACTGTTATTATGATATTTCACTATAAGAGTTATTATATATGTTTATAAATTAATGACATAATGTTTTAGATAAAAACATTATTTATAATATTATACAAACATAAAAGATAATATAATGTAATAGTGTAAAAGTAGAAAAACTTAAAAGAATATTTAATAATCAAACAAATCGAATATACAATTGGTTAATATTCTATTCGTTTATGAACCGAATAATAAAAACTATTCGTTCATTATTAAATGAACCATGGAATTGAATGTAACCGAATACTATGGACAATAAACGAACTATTTGTTACCTATTTGGTTCATTTCCATCCCTTATTGACACTCTAACAAAGACAAAGTGCAAAATGACCATGGAGAGCACCTTATTTCGTGACTTGTGAAAATAATATATTTTTCCAGCTTCTCCAATCATCTAGTTAATTATGCCACAGTTGCAGCTTGAATGGCAGACCATGAAGCATACAAGAAATGTGTATTAGATTTTGCTTGCTAACCATATACCAGCCCAACCCTTTGCCTTTTTCCCACCATACTGTATCATAAATCAGATTTCTCATGCTTGTGAAACTAAGAGAAAGAAAACTAATGAGGCCTGCAGCTGCGAGTTCATTCTATTTGCGGAAATATGAAATCTAGCAAATAACACTAGCTAGATAGAAAACAATAGGTTGAAAAGAAAACCAATAAGAACTATTACAATAAAATGCTGACAGAAACTTCCATAATCAGCAACTGGATATAATTCATACCACTTCAAAGAAACAGAGAATGCGTAGAACTACTAAGAAGAACAAAAACTAACGCTAAATTATCGATTATTATGCATAAACATGAGAACTTATATACTGGAAATTATATTTCACTGCACATGATAAGGAAGAGTATGCACCTGCATTTATTTCATTCATCGCTTTACGCACAGAGGGATCAGGTATGATATCAACCATGAGTATCTGCTCTATGTTATAACCATAGGCTCCCATCACCTGATTTCGATTGTTCCACATTAGATAGACTGAGGGAATAAAAAAATCGAGAAAACAAAAACTATCCTCAATTACTCACTCATATACGTTAAATACAAATTTACTCCAAAGTAGAGAACAAGATGCAAAAAGTTAATGCACTAAGTGCATCAATGACGGTAAAGATGCAAATGTTGGTTCTGATATGAAATAAAAATGGACTCTGCACAAAGATAAGATCCAAAAGGAAACAAGAAATATCACCACACCTTTAAACATAATTCTCCCTTTTTACTGTTGATAATTAAAAGATCACAAGTTCAAATGGTGTTGCAGTATCTAAAAAATGTGCAAAGTAAAACCGTTAGACAGAAATTAAGAGATTAAGAGTTGGTTATTAAATAGAGAGAAGATGTAGGCTTACATGATTGCCAGGTTATAAGAAGCAACAAAAAAATGGTTCCAAGAATGAGATTAACAATTATAACAAGTGAGACAAGTTTTGTAATTGTATGAATTAAGAGGATCTTGCATGAGGATAATTGTGGAATTAGAAGTGTATGAAATGTTTTAATGTAGATAGGGAGATTATCTACAAGAAATCTCAAATTTTTTTTTTTTGTTTCCTTGGATTTTCAGCTAATTAATAGTGCATGACACGTATGTACATGTCCATCAAAGAAAAATTTCCTGTAACAAGTTTGTTCGGTATGCAAGTGTTGGAACAACAAATGTAGTTGCAACACCATAGGTGTGTTTGGATTGATGTAGTTGGACTTCTATGTTGTTCCAAATACATCTATACGTGTTTGATGGGTTGTCGTCGCAACACAAAAAATTTGTTGCAACGCCAAATTATGCTAAAAATGAGGGAGTTGTAACTGCATTGAAATCGTAGTGTTGCAACAACATGGGTTACAACTTACAACTACATGCAGATGCAACAACATTAGCTGCAATGGGTGTGTTTAATTAGAGGGTGTTTGAACAACAAATTTAGTAGCATCTGCATATAGCAACTCATGTTGCATTAACATGTAATTGCAACGCATGTTGTTGCAATACTCTACAATTTTCATAAGGATGCAACACCATAATTTTAAGCATATTATAGTGTTGCAATAACCTTTCTATGCCATTAAACATCCAACTAAACATGCATAGATGTAGTTGGAACAACATAGTGCTCCAACTACATCAATCCAAACACCCATGATCTTCGTAACTACATATGTTTTTCAAACACCATCCAACCAAACACACCTAAATGCGGGTGCAACTACATTGGTTGTTCCAACACCCTTTAACCAAACACCCTAACAGTTTTTATCATTGTTCAGTTTCTGTGACACATTTACCATCTAATTAGTCACAGACTTTATCCACAATGTATGACACAACATAAATAATGTAGTCTTCAAGCATTTTGAAGAATATGTTTAAGAATTTTTCTTTATTTTAAATATTCACACAACAAATACTAGCAAAATGCATGCGACTTCCTTCAACTTTTTTAGGAATAGAGTATTTCCAAAGGTTGAAAGCATGTTAAGAACCTAGTCCAATAGTCATGAAATGTGAATTTTGTATGAGATAAGGATAACAGTAAGGAAGAATAGACTGTACATGATCATTAATGAAAATCTACAAAAGCATTTTAAGCATGTATTCTGTTGGATTCTTTGTTACATTATTCCTTATAATTTAGGTAATTAATAGTGCCTAGCATGCATGCATACGACCATTAAAGACAATTTTTTATTCCACTACTAGTTCCTCTGTATTTCAATTTCCATATGACATATTAACGATCCAGTTGATCAGATTTTTCTCAGCAATGTATTAAGCAATGGAAACAATGTAGTCTTCAACAGTTCAAATATTTCGAAGCATATATTAGCAAAGGTTTCGTCATTTTAATTATTCACTACAAAAATACTAGTAAAATGCATGTGCCCTGGACGTATTCAATTTTGCAAGGAATAAAGTATTTACAAAATTTAATAGCATCTTAACAACCAAGTCCATTAGTCAAGAAATGTGGATGTTGTATAAGATAATGATAACCACTGTTGAAAACCCTAGTTACATAACTCGTTATTTTACATTGAACAACTTAGGAAACATCAAGTGTTACGTAACTTTTGAAATAACTCCCGCATGCCATAACTCTACATTATTACCCAAAAAAATTATTTCAACATAATGTACTTCTTATTTCACTATAATGTACGTTATTTCAATATAATTTGTAATATAGACATGAGAACACTTTCTTTATTCAGTACTCAAAGTGTTATTATTTACTTTAATGTTTTGCATAAAACTTATCGTACTTGTGCTTCCGAATAGGTTGCTAAGCGTTTATGATTTGTTTAGGTTGAGAAATTGTGATGTTGTTTGATAGTCATGATGATATATTTGAGTTATGATGACTATGTTTATTAAAATCATCATGAATATTCTGCATTTACTAAATATATGTAAGTAGATAATACTAGAACATGTAACCTACAATGTCTGTTACATTGTTTTGCACTATCAAGAGGCGAGCATGTGTTTTCATTATTTTCAACATTGATAATAACAGTAAGAAGCATAATACATGACAATTAGTGAAAAAAACATCTGAAAGAATTTTTAAGCTTGTATTATGTTGGAGTCCTTGTTTTAATTTTTTTTATTTTTTATTTTTAAATTTTATTGCTATCTAAAAGAAGAGTAAGGAAGTCATCAAATCCTTATCACAAACTATCCTTCGAATAAGAAGAAATTAGTTTATAAACATCCGCACAGTTACTTTAAATGATAACATAGTTTAATGTAAAAACTAGATGTGATGGAGAAAATGTCAGAAATTTCTTGGCGTGATATTCTTTATTTATTTATATTATTTTTTAGATAGTTGTGTACTATATTACCGCACACTTCTAAATCTTAACAATTGAATATTTAGAATTGGATAAGTTTACAGTTAGGTATGTCTATTTAAATTTCAATAAAAGTAATTAAAAAAATTTAGGAGAGATTTATTTTATAAATAGTAATTTAAGTAGTTTATAAGATAATATTCACTAGATATAAAATAGAGCTATAGGTTAAGAGAAAATGGAAAGCGTCAAAAAATTTATTTGCTTTCAAGAGTAGTTTGGACACATTGTTTATTTGCTTTCAAGAGTAGTTTGACACATTGTTAGGTTCAACAGAAGCTGTTTTGATAAATTTACTAGAAAACCAATTAAATAGTTGCTAAAAAATAAAAATTAGACGGTAATTTAAATTTTGTTAAAATAATATTTTCTGTAAATGCTTAAATGTACCATGCTAATAGAAAATGGAAGGTAATTCTTTGTTTGCTTCAAGAGTAATCTATATTACCTTTGTTCCTTTAATTTGAAGCCGTACCCGTATCCAACATGTACACGTACCCGTACTAGAAAATGGAAGGTAATTCTTTGTTTGCTTCAAGAGTAATCTATATTACCTTTGTTCCTTTAATTTGAAGCCGTACCCATATCCAACATGTACACGTACCCGTACCCAAACTCCCTAGATACTCCTTGCACTTATGCATACATTTATTTGAGCATGTACTCAATTATACAATACATGTTTTAATTTGAAACACTTGTCACACATTTTATGGACACATATCCTACACTTCACATCCACTTCATGAAACTCGTTGGACATAGACCATGATCTAAATTATAATTTTGAATGGTCACTTGGATGTCTAGTTCAAAAACTAGTGTTCCAATTTATAATCCACATAATAAAAGTAACATAAAAATGTTTATAGGAATTCTAATTATCTTCCTTTTCTCATATAAATTATCAATTCCGATATATAAATATACGTGTAAATAAATATTTATACAGCTTGTCCCCATACCCTACCTTTTATAAATTCACCGTGTCCCATACCCGTACCTGTATCTATGCAACACAGAGAGTAGTTTAAATTGGGAGAGAACAAAAATCAAAAGATGATGGCATGAAGGTAAGTTTCTAGGCTGAAATTTAGATATATTCAGAATTATTTAGGAACTTGAATCTACTAACCAATACTTAAATCTTTTGTCGTCATAAATAATAAATTAAGGTAGGTCAGTATGGGACAAGTAGTATGTATGTATGTACGTATACACACACACATATACATATATATACACACACAGACACATACACAAAATGAAATACTATTCCCAGCACATTCAAATTCAATTGGTTAAATTCAAATACCATTCATAGAATGCAACTGGTCACTCTCAAATTCCTAATCAGGAGGTTTGAGAGGATCCCAAGACTCCACTACAAGTTTAGGTTACCTTCTCAAGTTCATCTAGAACAGCTTTAGCCACATCGCCCTTCTGCTCAAAAAGCTCATCTAAAGTCATCAAAGGCACATGGGCACGAACCACTACAACAAGACCAAAAGTGAAACATTCTCAACTTAATAGATACATCAGCACTAGAAAAAAGAAACCCCATAAAATCCTAAGAGACTACCATCAAAAACATAGGCTTGAATCTGCTCTTTGGGGTTCTGCAACTCATAGAATGCATCATCAGCATTTTGCTTAACAACTCGAAACTGAATCGAACAGACGAGCTGGACAAAAACATTATCCTACAGGAATAATACAGAAAAACATCTTAGTACATGGAATATTCACCCAAAAGCATGTTTCTAATCATGTCATATGAAGAGTTAAATTAATCAAACACGTGCTACATGCCCTGCTAAACACATTCAATCTACATATTACAGACGTTATCTAAGTCCAGCAAGCCAAAAATCAAGAGAAGGTAAAATCAATGACCAAGATAGCATATTGTAGCCAAAGCTACAATTCTTATGTGAACTAGGTTAAGCTAGCAAAAATCAGCAAAGACCTAAAGTTCAAAAATTGAAAGAGATGATGGAATTGAATAGAATAACAATTACAGGATTACAGATTGGATTAAATTAGAGATCAAGGGAGATTTCAATTGTTTTTTCAGAAAGAAACAACAAATTTTTAATATTAAGAATAAGATGCCTCAGAGATCAATCCCCAAAGTAGCCCTAGAAATAAATAGAGAAATCTCAATATAATAGTGCCTGAACGAATAAGCCTACATGAACAAAATCAGCAAAAATCAAGATAATTCACCAATTTCACAACTGAAATAGACTGGAGAATTAAAGATATCGAAGAATTACAGGATCCTGGATTAGGTTTAAATTGAAACATGATTAGTACAAGAATTGGGGTTAGGGTTAGGTTTTAGGGGCAGAAGAGGACTTTGGTATACAAATAAGGGAAATCGAGATTCTAATTCAATTTTAAGACAATTAAAGAGTGTCTAGATCACTAACTCCACATGAACAAATTTATTAACAATCAAAGAAAAAGAATTTAACAAAATAAGGGGTTTGGGCTAGATGAATTAGGGTTAGGGTTTTATTGGAGAGATTATTGAATATTAGAGCTAGGGTTAGGATTAAGCAACTAATCACATAGCAAGAATTACGAGATTACGGTGGAATTGTTGACAGAGGAATTAGGTCGAAATGAACAAAATTAAGTGTAATAAAAGATAATCATAATCTCAAAATTGAAATAGACTTAGGGAGAGAAAGATCTAGAGAATAAAAGATGAAGACTAAATAGAAAGATACACAAGAATTAGGTTAGGCTTTTAGGGTGAGAAGAGGAAGAACTAGAGGATTAGGGAGCTAAAGAGAGGACCTTGGTCTTGGTCTCGATCTTGACGTCGAGGGCGCTGATGCGAGTGGAGAGGGATCCACCGAGGCATTCGCCGAGGAAGGGGTTCAAGCAGTGGAATCCAGGGGAGGCCAGCCTCAGGAAGCGGCCCCAGCGCTCCACAACGCCGATGCTCGCCTGATCGATGCACGCACAGAACAAACAGTTCACCGTCATCTTTTCGCTCACCTCGGTTTTCTTTTTCCGTTTTCCCCTTTTCTTCCCGATTTTTATTTGATCTTTCGCTTTTCTTATAACTTCGTAGTTTTGGGTTTGTTAGACATTTTATATCTGGGAAGAGAGAGAGAAGGATTTAAAATGTTGATTCTCTCGGCAATCGATCGCGCATTAGGGGTGTCCAAAAAGCCCGCCGGCCCGGGCCCGGCCCGGGCCCGGTCGGGCCCGGGCCCGGGCCGGAAACCCGGGCCGCCTTTTTTGTGCCTGGTCCGGGCCCGGCATGGCCCGGAATAGTATTTTTTATTTTTTTTTATTCTTTTTATTTTTTATATGTATTATATATGTATAATATGTGTATATGTAATATATTTTTATATATGTATAATATATGTATATATATATAATATATGTATATATAATATATTTCTATATATGTATAATATGTGTGTGTATATATACTCTCTCTTATATATGTATAATGTATGTATGTGTGTGTGTATACTCTCTCTCTTATACTATACATGTATATATAAGTATACTCTCTCTTATATATGTATACTCTCTCTTATATAAGTATATATAGGTATACACTCTCTTATATATGTATAATATATGTGTGTATATATATATACTCTCTCTCTTAGTATATATGTATATATAAGTATACTCTCTCTTATATATGTATATAATATGTGTGTGTGTGTATGTATACTCTCTCTCTCTTAGTATACATGTATATATAAGTATACTCTCTCTTATATAAGTATATATAGGTATACACTCTCTTATATATGTATAATATATGTGTGTATATATATGTACTCTCTCTCTTAGTATATATGTATATGTATATATAAGTATACTCTCTCTTATATATGTATAATATGTGTGTGTGTGCGTGTGTGTGTATACTCTCTCTCTTAGTATATATGTATATATAAGTATACTCTCTCTTATATATGTATAATATGTGTGTGTGTATACTCTCTCTTAGCATATATGTATATATAAATATACTCTCTCTTATATATGTATACTCTCTCTTATATAAGTATATATAAGTATACACTCTCTTATTTATATATGTATAATAATATGTATACTCCCTCTTATAAAGGTATACTCTCTCTTATATATGTATACTCCCTCTTATATAAGTATACTTGTTTTCGTCGAAAGTTACCTTAGTCATTGATTTCATTAAACTTTAAGTGTTACAAATGAATTCAAACAACAAAAGAATAAAAGATTACAACTTTCTTGAAAATAAACACAAGATCCGTTCGTCGTCTCTTGTTTGCGTGGGTCTTTAGCCTGTGACGGGGATGTCGATATCCGTGGACTACCTAGCAATCAGATCAGGTCCAGAGCTTCGTCGATCCGCGAAGAGATCTAAAAACAGAAGCGCTTATCTCGACAAAAGCGAGATAATTGCTCTTCTTAGAATTACCACAACGGGATAATACTAAGGATTGGATAGGGGTGATGTAGATCTGACGACTTTCGATCTCTTGTGTTGAAGAACTCGATCACTCTTCAGTTCGGCAGGGCTTCACCAATTCTCTAAAATTCCAGATCTCCAAAAAGTGGGGACTCAGGGCTTCTATTTATAGGCACGGGACAAAAATTGCTTGGAGACACCTCAGGGTGTCTCAAACTTGGCTGAGACACCCTTGGGTGTCTCCTAGGGTGTCTCGGCCTTAGCCGAGACACCTTAGGGTGTCTCGTTGGTCCGAGACACTCCGTTATGGTGTATTTGCCCGTTTTCGCTGTAAATTCTTCGTCTGAACTCGGATTTGAGTGATTCGAAGTACGTTGGAAAGCCGACAAGGAGTTCTATCAGCTCCAATGGTTGGATCATCTGTAGAATAAATGAGACACGAAGGGTATTGTTCCTTTTGTAAACATCGCGGGGCTCCCGATTAGCCCGTACCTTCGTTATTCCGAAATTTTGTTAGTCCACGTAGTTCGTCGATTCACTTCAAGCGTTCACCGACATCAATCGAACTCCTGTGAATCGGATAGTGACGTTTATCATCGTTCCTTAACACTGAGCTGTTCGTGGAGACCTATAGGTAATTTTCGATGCCTACAGATACCCCCTCCAAAGCGTTCCAGACTCGTTTCTTTTATAGAAGAGGCTGGAATACTTTGGATGTGATTGGTCCAGCCTTCAGTCGGCGTAAAGAACCTGTAGCTAGCTTCAACTCTTGGCTCCTTCAATTTTCGGTTTATCCAATGTTTTGACGAATAGCCGAAGTCCTTCTGGCGCTGCGTTTATCGCTTGGCCGTCGTCGGAGTCTCGAGTCTACCACCAGTGAGTTGAGTTTGGCTCGTGTCATTGAGTTGACTTTGAACTGACTATCTCTGTCACATTGTGCTGACTTAGGGTTTCAGATTACCGTATGTTAACTTTTTGTCGCAACGCGTTGAGTGGCGTTGACCTAGGGTTACGCGTTGACCGGCGTTGACCCTAGGGTTTCGAATGTCGTACGTTGACTATTTGATTGCAACGCATTGATCGGCGTTGACCTATGGTTACGCGTTGTCCGGCGTTGACCGTAGGGTTTTGAACGTCGTACGTTGAATTTTTTGGTCGCAACGCGTTGACTGGCGTTGACCTAGGGTTACGCGTTGACTAGCGTTGACCCTAGGGTTTCGAAAGTCGAATGTTGACTTTTGGCTGCAACGTGTTGACTGGCGTTGACCTATGGTTACGCATTGACCGGTGTTGACCCTAGGGTTTCGAATGTCGAACGTTGACTTTTTGGTCACAACGCGTTGACTGGCGTTGACCTAGGGCTACACGTTGACTGGCGTTGACCCTAGGGTTTCGAACGTCGAACGTTGACTTTTTGGTCGCAATGCGTTGACTGGCGTTGACCGCGTTGACCCTAGGGTTTCGAACGTCGAACGTTGACTTTTTGGTCGCAATGCGTTGACTGGCGTTGACCTAGGGTTATGCGTTGACCGGCGTTCACCTTAGGGTTTCGGATCGCTTGACGTTTGTTGTAGTATACACAGTTTAAGCTCTTGAGGTATTGGAGCATGGCGGTCCTAAATATTGGAGTTGTTAGATGCTCAAGTCACGAGACCAACTAATGAAGATGATGCTTCAATGACTTGCATTTATAGAATTTTTGGCAAATTCTCAGCCATCAACGGGTTTGATAAGCCTTTACCGACTACCGTTTGAGTCGGGCTAGCATGCGGATTGTTTTAAGTCCGTTCCGCATGTGACGTTATGCTAAAAGAGTTAACTCTTTTAGTGCTACGATATTGAATACGTAGACTTCGTCTTTCTCCTGTGAAAAGACTAAACAGCAACGTGTATCAGACGTTGACTTAGGATTTTTGGCAAATCCTCAGCCCTCAACGGATTTGACATGCTTTTACCGATTACCGTTTGAATCGGGCTTACATGCGGATTGTCTTAAGTCCGTTCCGCATGTGACGTTGTGCTAAGAGAGTGAATTCTCTGAGACTTGATGCTACGACTTCGAATACGTAGACTTCGTCATTGTTACGGGAATAGGCTACCCGGCAACATGTATTAGATGCTGACTTATCCCCACTTAGGCTTCAGGATAAAATACCCCAGACTGGTATTCTGGTGTCTTTTTCAATCGGCAAAAGACTAAACCGGCGACGCGTGTTAGGTGTCGGCATATCCTTTCTTAGGATTCAGGATGAAATTCCCCATGCGTGTAAGGCAAGGATTTTGGTGTTATTAATAACAACCTGTCACAATGTTGAATATATGAACGGGTGTTCTTTTTAAACGGTTAAGAACTGACCGGCAGCGCGTGTCAGGCGCAGACTTATCCTTGCTTAGGTTTCAGGATAGAATACCCCAGAATCGAACTCTGGTGTCTTTTTCAATCGGTAAAAGACTAAACCGGCGACACGTGTTAGGTGTCGACATATCCTTTCTTAGGATTCAGGATGAAATTCCCCATGCGTGTAAGGCATGGATTTTGGTGTTATTAATAACAACCTGTCACAATGTTGAATATGTGAACGGGTGTTCTTTTTAAACGGTTAAGAACTGACCGGCAGCGCGTGTCAGGCGCAGACTTATCCTTGCTTAGGTTTCAGGATAGAATACCCCAGAATCGAACTCTGGTGTCTTTTTGTGCAGAAAAAAGACTAAACCGGCAGCGCGTGTTAGGCGCAGACTTATCCCTGCTTAGGATTCGGGATAAACTTCCTAGGATGAATCCTGAATTCTTCGAAAAGGATTGGTATGGGGAAGGAAGAATTTTATATTCTATTCCCCGAACAAAGAAGGAAAGGAGACTCGAGGTGGGATCTCCACCCCCAGAATCCGGAAAGGTGAAACTAAGAGTGGGATCTCCACTCCGAGAATCAAAAAGATTCGGATAACCCTAACTGTCGGAAGGTTTGATTATCGAACTAAAGATGAATTTCTCGTTTATCGAGAATGAATCGTGGTTTTGGTCCTAACTGTAGGAAGGTTTGACCAAGTGGGAGGTTTGAGGTGACCCTAACTGTAGGAAGGTTTGATCACTCGATTTGAAAGTGGACCTCTCGTTCATTGGAGGAATCGAGAGGGGATTTTGGTTGTGGTCCTAACTGTAGGAAGGTTTAACCAAGTGGGAGGTTTAAAACGATCCTAACTGTAAGAAGGTTTGATCGCTCGATCTGTGGACCTCTCGTTCATTGGAGGAATCGAGAGGGGTTTTTGGTTTTGGTCCTAACTGTAGAAAGGTTTGACCGAATGGAAGGTTTAAGACGATCCTAACTGTAGGAAGGTTTGATCGCTTGATTTGTGGACCTCTCGTTCATTGGGAGAATCGAGAGGGGATTTTGACTGTGGTCCTAACTGTAAGAAGGTTTGACCAATCAGGAACTTTACGTCCAGACTCTAAGGAGGGATTCGAAGATGGCTGGAACGTTTTCGTCCTTGAAGGAATACTCTTTTTTGAGTCTCGGGTCCGAAGTCTTTTGCTGTCTTCGGGATTGCTGTTGTGACGTTCGATTAGCACCAATAGCAGCTGCAGGTGCCTTGCCCTTACCACGAGAGGCGAAGTTCGAGTTCAGAGGATTAGCCGTCGGTAGATTCCTCTCGGCC